CTAGAAGCATTAGCTTATTTCTAAAAGGCTTAGACAGTAAAAACTAACTAGGTAAAAGAGCACTAAAACTAAAAAGCAAAGCTCTATTACCCTACAAAGCATCATATAACTGCGATGTAGGCAGACAAGTCCCTAGCAATGCTAGCTAAGGAGGAGAGAGGCTAGCAGCCTTAGCCTCTAGCGCCTCTAGCTTATCTAATAACAACAAGTCTTCTTCTATGTATTTAGCCTAACAATTCTAAAGCAAACAGAACTGTTTCTTTAGATAAAGCTTCTTAGTAGATAATTTAGCCACCTTCCGCTCTATCTTTGCCTACTTAGCTTTAATAAAAGCTCTTTGCTTAAGAATTACAACCTAAGCTTTCTAAGCCTACTCTATCTCTTATAACACCTTTACGCGGTCGCGCTTAAGCCTATTTTAGGCCTAGTTAGAAACAAAAGCATTATAATAACTTCTTTTCTAAAGACAATCTACACACTTGTTAAATAATAAGAATAAACATAGTTAATACTAGAAAAATAATAGAGACTATAAAGTTACATCATTATATAATAAAGAGAATTAATGTAGCAAATAGTGTAGTTATAATAAGACTAAGGATAATAGTAAGGCATAGTTAGAATAATTACTGCAACAGAAGAACAACAGGCACTTACAGGTTATAACAGTTTTCTAACACTTGTAATAGTATAGAGAAGGCGGTAAGAACGCTGCTAGGAAGGAAAGGCTGTGTGTTACAGTCTCTAAGTAGACTAAAAGTAAGTGCTAGATAGCTACTAGATTAAATAATAATTAGTAGTAGAACTTTTCCTTAGCAGCGCAACAGGAAAATTATGTAACAAACTAGAAGTCTCTAGAATAGAGATATTAGGCTTAGTAAAAATACATGCGCTAAGAGAAGTACATGTAGTGTATGTAATTAAAAATTACATGCAAATTTAAAACTGCATGCATAACATATAAAACTAATGTATATAGTCTTAGTTCTAGCTATTATTTAAAAGGTTGTAATTAATGTTTAGTTTATTCTAAATAATAAACTACGTAGTCTAGTAGTTTCTAACAACACTAGATTCTCTTGTATCTATACATACCAACTCCTTTATCATCTCTAGCAAAATCATTTCCCCTGCTCCCTATACAGCAGCCTAGGCAAACTACGATAGGCCGACAACTCTAGACCTCTAATAAGCCGCAGCTTAGATTTTACACCTGTGCCGCTGCTTATCCTCCTCCACGCCACTCCACTTTCACAGCCAGGCCCGCGTACTAAACACATACGAGTTGCTCCCCCGCAGCCTACCTAGTAAGTAGATATCGTAACAGTAAGTAACTTAGGTGTGTAAGCAACTTGCGTATAGTGTACGTTGCTATTTTTTATTTATAATAAGTCTTAGTAGTTGCAAACTCTAAGTAATACTTTAGAACTTAACTTATAATTAATACTTATCAAAATTAAAAATTAAAAGTATATAAATAGCGTACTAGCTTTTATAGTTAAAGTGTTGAAAAAAGTCTTAAAAAAGTAGTAATAATTACATATAAGCTACTGTTAATGTAATAGAAAATTACTAAACTTTAAACAGCTAATAAAGCTGCTATATAATATAAATTATAAAGAAAAAGGCTAATTAAAGTAGAAAAAGCCTTAATAGTTTTAGAAAGGCCTATACTTTATAACTTTAAAAGAGTTTAAAGCGCTAAGTAATAAAAAGAATGCAAAAAAGCAAGTATAAGCTATAGTAAGTAAGCTTTCTAAAGACGCTATAGACAGTGTAATTAGACTAGACATAACACACAAATATGTATAAAATACTACAACAGTTTATAAATAATCTGTAAAAGCAAAGCTTGCTTAGAGTAATTATTGCAACTACTAATTAGAGAGCAATAAGAAGCAAGTCTATTAACTATAAGAGGCTTATAGAGAGCTTAGGCGCTAAGTGTCTCAGGCTGCTTGTCTGAAACACAGGCGCAACACCAGGCCTATGTGCGCGACGCTAGGTCCCTGTGCTCTTCTTACGCAACAGTAATAGTTAGCGTATTAAAGTAGGTTATCTAGGTTAAAGAATAGTTACAGCATAATGCTTAGCAAAGTAGTATTAGACAGGTAATAAATGTATAATAACAACATTTAACTATAGCATGTAACTAATCTATTTGCAGTAGTAACACTTAGATGTGTTGTTACTATAGTTGCACAATAGTTAGATGTGTTGTTACACAATAGTTAGATGCGTTAGCACTATAGTTGTATGCATCTTAGCACAGTCTGTTGCTAAGACCCACCTAATTATTTTGCATATATATAGACTCCTGTAAAGGACTCCTCTAGCAATACATTTAATGCAGTTCCTTATGTCTCTAGTGCCTTACATAGCTTCACATAATCACTAACACACTAATATAGCTAAAAAAAGTAAATAATAGTTAGCTCTAGCTCTTAACACGTTTGTGCCCTTATAATAGTCTTCCTTTGTCACAGTTATGTTACAGCTATCTAACCCCTAAGTACCCTAAGGGCTTAGCACAGGGTATATAGGCTCCTCGGCCTCTGTACCTCTGCCTCTAACCTTAAGGTTTACTCTCTCTTGTTACCCCCCTATCCTGTATTCCCTCTCTGTAACCTGTGTTTCCTGCTTAATACCTCTTACATCCTCCCCTTTGCACCTTACAGTCTCTAGTGTTGTGTAATAAGGTAGACGCCCCGCCTGCTAAGCTAATACTATGCAACTTTCCCTACTATACTAAAAGGTACGCACGGGAATACTTAAGCTAAGTATTCTAGCATAGTATAATATATATATAGATAATGCTAGGGCTAGCACTAGCACTAGCAGTTGTCTCTAGTCTAGCCTAAACCTCTATAAGCAAGAGAAGGCCATGTAGTTAACTGTGCCTACCTTGTTACACATTGCGTCTGTTCCTTTCACCGCCTAATACTGCCACGCTATGCCTAATACTGCTACCTAATATCTTTAATTTAATTGTTTTAGCATTAAAGCCCTAGTTGTAGAGCTGCAGCTTGTGTAGTTTGTTGCCTCTACAGGAATTTCTTAGAGTGCTAGGGAGCTCTAGCGCTGCCTCTGCCTCTGCCTCTGCATCTCTATTGCCGCAAAGATTAATGTAGTACATGTAATACCTTAACAAGCTATTTTGCTTACACAACTGCTAGTTTAGCTTCTTTAACTACTGTTTAAATATAATAGGCTAATGCCTAGAGATGTTAGTAAGAGATTACCTACTAGTGTTAAGAAATGCATAAAGTAAATTACAGCACATTGCAGTAAACTACAGCAAATTGCAGCAAACTACAGCAAATTGCAGCAAACTACAGCAAATTGCAGCAAACTACAGCAAATTGCGGTAAACTATATCAAATTGCGGCAAACTACAGCAAACTACAGCAAACTATAGCAAATTGCAGCAAACTGCAGTAGATCACAGCAGCAGGCAGCAATCTCTAGTAGATATTAGTTGTGTTACAAGTAGCTCTACGTATAGAGAGGGTTATATAGGGGTAATGTCTCTAGAAAAAAAGCCTTAAAAAGGATAGCAATAATTGTACATAAGCTAGTGTTAGCGTAATAGGAAATTACAAAGCTTTAAGCAGCTAATAAGGCAGCTACATTTAGAAAAGCCTGCGCTTAACAGCTCTAAAGAAGGTTAGAGTACGTAGTAATAGGAAGAAGGTAAAGAAGCAAGTGTAAGCTTGTTAGATTAAAGCACTGTTTCTAGGCTTCCTGAGATGAATGATGGGTTTGGATATAATGTATAGGATGATGATTGATTGTGTTGATCTATTAATCCTTTTTCTGCTCTACTCATGTTGCTTGGCTTTTGTTTTTCTGATCCGAGTCCCTCGCGCACTAGCCCTATGCGCGACCAGCTTGCAACATGCTGCAATTTGTTGCAGAATGCTGCAACATGCTGCAATTTGTTGCAAAACGCTGCAACATGCTGCAATTTGTTGCAAAATGCTGCAACATGCTGCAATTTGTTGCAGAATATTGCAAAATGCTGCAACATGCTGCAATTTGCTGCAACATGCTGCAATTTGTTGCAACATACTGTTCGAGCTTATTGCTCGTACTATGTAGCAGCTTTTGTCCAGCGTTCCTCCTGTCTTGACAGTAGGTGCGCATATCTGACAAAGCTAAAGTAGGTAAGCAATCCTAAAGGCGCTGTAGACAGTGCAATTAGACTAGGCATAACGCGCAAACGTGTAAGCAAGAAGTAGAAGTAGTATCTAAATAATATTCTAAGCTGTACTCTACTCTATAGTGCTAGAGCGGGTTGTTATAAAGTTTGTTGTGGTGTGGTCTTGGCAAAAGTGAGCAACTCAGGTGTGTGAGCAACTGCCAATCCCCGACACACCGATGCGGCTGATGCCAATCCCTGACACACTAATGTGGCTGATGCCAATCCCCGACACACTGATGTGGCTAGAGAGGTGGAACAGACGCAACTATCTATAATTTAAACATGTTTTACACAACGCATGCTAGAGTAAACTGCATGCAAATTAACAGAAAGGTGCACCTATATTAGGTATACATTTTTTTTTAAAAAAGAATGTAAGAAATACCTAAGGTGACAGAGAAATAGCGTTACTGGGGTTTATCTGAAGAAATTCTGACTAACTAGCGCGTCCAAAAGAGGAGATTCTGCGCAACTTTTCGTTCTGCAAACCCGAATATAATAAGCAGAGCAAGCTCTGCTAATAAGAAGTAGAAGTAGTCTTTAAATAATATTCTAGGCTGTACTATACTACATAGTGCTAGAGCAGGTTGTTATAGGATATAATAGAGTGTGATATAGTGTGGTCTTGGCTAAAGTAAGCGACTTAGGTGTGTGAGTAACTTGCTTGTAGGGTATGTTAAAGCTTTTTAACAACTTATGTGCCTACTCTAGAAAATAACTACCCTGCTACTAAGAAAGTGTTTAAAAGTTATGGCTGTATAGACTACTAACAGTCCTATTAAATGAAGGAAACTATTCAGCCATCAGGGGAGATAGCTGCAGAACTCAAGCGTTTGCGGAAACGAACTATCGGCCCGTGGTGCGAGCTTGTGAAAAAATCCCGAGTCTGGAATTCATCCTTGTTTCCTCGGCCCCAAGATCCGTTGAAATTGCCTCCGAAACCTGAGCCACTCGACTGACTACTTGGCATCATTTCTAGATCATATGTCCACAGAATCCGAGCGAGTACGAGGCTAATCTCATTGTAAGCTAGCTGCTTCCCCACACAACCGGTCCTGCCAACTCCGAATGGCATAAATGTATGGCGACAGTCTTTTCGATATCTCTCAATCCACCGCATCGGATCGAAATGGTGAGGACTCTCCCAGTATTTTTCATTATGGTGGATGGCATACACAGGGACTCCTACATCGACACCAGCAGGAACTGACCATCGGTTGGCGATGAGCAGGCCACCTTGGAGGACCTCCCGAGGAAGAAGTCCAGCAACAGGGGGAGATAGTCTCATAGTTTCTTCAGTACATGCCCTTAGAAGTTGGCAGCTCGATAAGCCTTCACTAGTTTCGAACTCCAGGCCGAGCTTTTTAATACGGGAGAAGGCCTCATCAACTTCGGACTGAACCTGCTGAAGGATTTCTGGATTCTGGAGAAGGTAGTATAATGTCGCAGTGACTGTAGTAGCAGTTGTGTCCGCACCCGCGATTATTAAAATCCCGGTTTCTGCTACGAGGTCGTCCATAGTGAAAGCATAGCTTTGTCTGTCTGACTTGGGGTCATTAATATTGCTGGCCTGAATGAATAAGGAGAACAGGTCCGCATGCTCTCCGTAGGTTCTGTCTTTTCGGATGTGTTCCTCACACTGGCTCCTCGCAATCGCGAGGAACCGTCGCGTGGCTGCCATAGTCTTAGGGACCAGAAACATGTCCAAATTCAGTTTCAGAGCTAAAATCATGTGTCCTGCGGCGTGTAGACCGGATGTTCCGAGGATAAGAATATCCAAGATCCAGCGTTTCGAGTCCGAGGTTTGGACGTTCCAGTTTTGGGAGAACATCATATCTCCCATGATATCCGTGAAAAGAAACTGGATGATCTCCGAGAGATTGCGTGGCCTACTCCACTCCGCCCCTGATGCATCTGTGAGAACGTTGTCGATGAATATTTTGAGGTTCCTCAGGACATGCTTCTCAAAATTCTTAAGCTTTATGGGCTGCAGTGCAACATTCAAGATCTTTCGCTTGAACGAATGCTGGCTTCGATCAATACATGTAAGACTTGCTGATGCCTTGAAAATATGGTTGAATCCCCTGATATAATAATTAATAGACATTTTTGATTAAGAGACCGAGGATCGCTTGCCCATAAACTCGTGACTTTTGCGTATTAGATCGTACCCCATAAATATCTTGTATGGCATCTTTGTCGCAGAATGAAAGGCGATTTGGCGCATATCGAACTACGGATCCATACCTATCGTGCCATGATTTGAATTGAAGGTGACGTTCACCGTTTAAGCACGAATAGATATTAGATATTTCCGATATGGCAGCATACCAGGGACCAGGGTATCTGGCGAGAGGGTGGAACGTCAAGCGATATATAGCCACGGCGACTGTCTGCTCCACATCAGTATATCTTTCGGAACTTGGGAGAAGAGACCAACGCATTCCACCAGAATGAAGAAGGTTGATTGAACGAAGCTACACTGTATTCTGAAATGGAGAAATCCGACAAGGAACAAGACGGCGGCGAAGGCCATCACTGGGATGAGATATTGAATCTTTGCCATAATGGAGGGATGCAAGTGGAAGAAATGGACTTAGGCCTGCTGGCAACAGGCAAGATAAGTGCTTTATAACTTCGTTCAAAAATACGACCTAACTACAAACAGCGCGCTATAATCACGCCACTTCATACTATTAATATCAAGCACTACAATGTAAGATGGAATCTCGTCAATATCCTAGTATCCCAATGCCGTATCCTCCATCCAATAGTGCATCATAGCAAAGCTCCAATTCAACAGAGGACCTTTATGGCCTCTTCCCCATGTCAGGAGGGCCGTTGACAGGGGGCACGAAGTCCCTATTCTCAGCAATCCGAGCGGCCTCTCCGCCATATCTTTCGCAGGTCATGCTGTAGAGAGTGTTCCCAGACAAACAAGCCCATACCCCTCTTAAAAACATCCATGTTCCTTCATCCAGACACCCACTGGCCTCAAATTTCTTGAGCTCCTCAAACATCCACTGCTCTCGCTGCAAGAGTAGTGCATATGTAATCTCGAGCGCGGAACTTTGATTCGGGAGACTAAGAAGTTTCTCAAGAATAGCAACAATATTGATCAGATCCGGACAAGTCCCGTTACGGAATGCACGCATCTCTTTTGCGTAACTGTAAAGGTCATTCGTGATTGCAAGATGGTCTGCTGCCCAGGTCATGAAACGCTCAAGGAGAGGCTGGTGAATGTCAACGTTGGAAGCAAGCGAAAATTTAATGCCAGCAAATACGAATCCCGCCGAAACATTCTCCCGTCGAAATTCGAGATAGTCTCCAATCGATGTGATAGGGGCACGAGGGCGAAGATATGTGAACGTCTTCCGCATTTCGAGGTAGACCTCTGCGCCCCCGTTTCCAGTTTCACCACCACCCCCATGGATGTCACTGATTATGGAGTCAAGATAGGCCTGAAGAGCAGTCCTGCTCTTGTTCACTGTTACGGCAGGATCTTCGAGGCGTCGCAGAAAATCGGCAACAAGAACCGGTACCTGCTTCTCGTCTGCCCCTTCGCACTTGTCTTCTCAAAGATCTATATTAGACAAGGGTCCAGCCAGCATATTTGACAGGGACTTACCATCAAAGAGAAACTGCATAACCATCAACACGGCAAGTATCTCCAGCTTCCGCGGCTCCACACAGAATGGATACATGTAAGCAGTGGCTCTCATGCATCGATGCTTAAAGCCTGGCCGAAGTTCGTGTTGCGCAATTTTGCGCAGAGTAAGCCCATCTCGAATTTCAATGTCGGCCATGTCCTTGTCCGTGGCTAGCAGATGAACGAACGTCCGTGCAGCCTCGATTGATTCCCGCCAATACTTCGATTCGTACGCTGCTGGAATCGAGCTGCAGTAAGGGATCGAACCCTCTAGTGTGCTGAAAGTAGAGAAGGTGGGATCATTGAGGTTTCGAAAATTCAAATAAGTCGACGGGAAAGATAAATGGGTTTGGTATAGGTAAGGTGCTGAAGACTGGAGGGGATTATGAAGGTAACGGATGGGGCAGATGAGATCTTGCTCTTCGTCTGTAAGAACACCGCGCAAAGCAGCCATTTGCTTCATCACTATCGATTCTTCTTTCGCTTTCTAGTCACTGTTTTCATTCATCATTAAATACCTCGGTCTACCTCTTTATATGCTCCCATTGCCTCTAAGTGGCAACGTTCGAAAAGCTTTCACAATTGGCTCCGTCTGCCGCACTCGAAGATTATTCTAGTAATATATTTGAGCAGTGCTATAATAATAGCAGTGATCATTGATTGGTTGTGGGAGGTGACGGAGTGGCATCAACGGGCATGAAGTTCCATTGAATCCTTTAAATCAACATACCCCCTGCCCCAACCCTTCCTTCTAAATCACCGACAATGTTTCTCCGTCCTCTATCTGGAATCTACTTAGAAGCTGTGCCGCACAATCTCTACAATCGATACAGCTAAACATATCACAACTTCTCAGACTTCTTCGTTTGGATGAAAAGATACCTAGCCTGCATCAAGATGTGACCAGCCCCGTCCTCAATCGTTGCCTTGGCCCATAGTTTGCGCATATCTGTCCATTTCTTTCCCTTCTTTTTTGCCTCCTCCTCATCAGCCCATGCTCGAATGAGGCACACCCCTGGTGTTTGAATGCGGCCGCGGAGCTTAATTTCAATGCTGGCCGTAACAGTGTCGGATCCTACTCCTGTAGCCCAACCCATTTTGCGAAACACGAGAAGGCCCATTCCTTCTGTAAATTGGAGTGATTGTTAACTAAAGCTTTTTGATTAAAATAAGTGGAAGGAAAAACTTGTTAGAACCCATACCGTACCATTTGTTCCTTGTTAAGTGCTCTTCAAGTGGCATTGGAGGGGAATGAAATTACAGTAACACCGAAAGGGAAGGAACTTACCGTCAATCAACCCAGCACACATACCTCCATGAAGAGTCTCAGGATAATAGTTCATGCCGGTTCCAAGTGAAACGAGTAGCAGCGCCTGACCGACATCCTCTCCTCTGGAGTCCGACTTCCACATTGCGTGACCAGCGCGTATACCAGTGTCCGTATTTAGTGTCTGGGCAAACAACGAACATGGGTGGTCTTCAGGTAGAGGGTTCGGACGAGAAGGCCAGGGTATGGTCTCGATAGACGGCGAATGAATAAGCTGTGTGCACCAGTCCTGGGATTGGAAATCCTGATGAATGAGAGATTGCGACATGGTGAGTTTGTTCAACCAGCGCGACAGAAAAGGGCAATATATACGATTTGGGGTTTTTTATTCTAGAAACGGACACTGAAGATGTATCAGTAATAAGGTGTTAAAACTTGCGTGTTATATCTTTAACAAACTACATGAATAATGATCCGTGGCCCTTCGCGATCCTACCGTAACCTTCAATGGCCTGCATGCATGTGGCGTAACGGGAGCGGTGCGGGCGCCGAGTCGCCGTTTCATGGTCTCGTTTTTGCGCGGTTAAATTGACATCCACACCGAGAACTCCAATAGAATCCCTAATTCCCCTAGAGGCGGCAGATTACTGAACTGTGCCGCTGCTGTGCTGCGCATTCAATTAAATTTCGGACTCTAGTGAGTACTCCACCGGGTCCGAGGCGGCAGGGTTGTCTGTACCTATCTTTGATTGACTACTGTGTAGGCGAAGCAACCAAAGGCGAGTAGATGGATACATACGACTGGTGTGCTAGCCACCAGGGATAAATGCCATTAGATGTAAGTTGCTTGAATAATTAAGAAGAGCAACGTAAGGACAGGGAAAGCTAACCATTAACTTGACTAATTCCTTCTAATAGATTGGCTTGCATGCTACTAGAAGACTATCCAGCCAGGCTCTGTGTTTTGTCGCACGTGAAACTGGTTCACGTGACCTACCGCAGGGTGAATGTGGGTTCTTCGCCTCTCTCCTCTTTCTTGTTTAGGACTAGTGCTTTTTTAGCTACTACATATTTACCTCTGAATTCTCTCAAGCTCTAGAGACTTTACGTCTCACCTTAATATACCTAAGTCGTCTCTCATTACCTAATTAACTGCTACATGCTCTCTACTATCCTTTAGCTCTAACCCTGCGATATGTTTTGCATAGAAACTATAACCTCTAGAAAGTAAAGTTAGTTATAAAAGAGTAAACCCGCTTCTTTCTATGTTATGGTTTTAGCACTTTATGAGTTTAAATCTACTTTATTAGCTAGAGCTGAATGTCCAAATGTCAAACCACCTCTTGGCGCTTGTGTTTCCTTGAGGGCGTATAAAAGGCCTCTGCATCAGACCCTGGGTCCTGATCCCAGCAGCCTTGACTGGCGGCAACCTCCCCTTGACTACTGCGCTGCTCAATGTCGTGGTGAACTGTAATACGGCTCAGCTCTGTGATGTCGTCGTATCGGTGCTTTTTGCTAGCCCTGGCCTGGGCTCCTTTCGAAATTGAGCGAAGCCCAATAGTCGACGACTTCTTAGAGTTATTGCTGGAAATTTTATCACGAATCTTATGAGCCCAAGTTCGGAATAAATGTGGGAATGTTGGGACAGCTGCAGCGATGATGCAGATATTTTGTTCGAGCTGAGCGGATATGTCAACACCCCAGAGGTCGACTGCTTGACTTTTAGTTATTTGGACGTTGTTCCCATTAATCTATGCTTACAAGTGAAGTCTGCGGCTGCAAGCTGCTCGTGGAAGACTACTCGCATGATGTTAAAGGCAGTAGCTCCAAGACCCAGGCTCAGCAGGAAGCAGATTCCGACTTTGACCTGCTTCTTCATTTGAACTCTCCATAGGATTATGGCAGGAAGAGACGTTATAAGAAGATCTAGGACGCTGTATATCACTGCTCCATGTTAGCCAGAGGGTTCACGCGTATATTTTAGAGAGCCATAGGTAATTTTACCTCCTTGGAAGACGCTGACCTTTCCATACACTTTTCTTGATATGCATTTGCCTTTCACACGTGGATTCCATAGTGCATTAAATGGTATACATTGGAGCCAAATGAAGATTGAGGTACCAAGCCCCACGGAGATTGTCAATGCTAGTAGCACGTAAATGAAACGAGCAACTCTTTTCGAATTCTGCACTTTATAAATAAATAGCAGAATTGAGGTCTTGACAAGGCAGACACACGGAATATTCATGGCTGCGAAAAGGGTGTTGTATTGTAAAACTTTGGCTGTTTGCTCTCTTGTGAGGTAGTATCGGTGACGTCCAGCCCCGTGAGAGACCATGATGAGATTGAAAGTGACTCCGACAATGGAAAACAGCTATGGGATTGTTAGCAGAGTCATTTTTCATGGAGAATTAGGAACTCGAAAGCTGTACCGTGCCCGCCACCAGAAGTCCATCATCCCACCAGAGGTTCTTTGTCATACGAGTACGGATATACAATCGAATAGCCACACACAAAAGTGCCGCGACTAATGAGGCGATCGCTATCCCGGAGATTGCGGGTCCTCGATTGATGTCTTCACCAATCAAGGGTTGATGTGGCAACGTGTTGGCCCTGGTTTTGAACATGTTTGGCGGGAGTATAATTGGAAAAGATTTAAGCTAATACGAGGATTCTGAAAACTCGAGTACGTAAAAATCTCCAAGGAACAGTGGAAGCGTCTCTCACATATCTCTGAGCCGCTATTTGTAAGACACCGTGGCCGCCACCGGAGAGCGGAGGATTATTCTATTTATGTAAGTTCCGGTGGTCGCAACAGAAATCCCCAGCTTCTTCGATAGAACCACGGATCCATGTCTGCGACGCTAACTCGAGAGGTTGCATCCTATAGGCAGGGATTGGTATTGAAGTCCTGTACTCATGCGGCGAGGTTGACATCACTTCACAGACGTATCTCCCCACCTATCCTTGGGCGCAGTAACGTACTGCGGTGGCGTGGAAAAATGCAACAAATTTGATTAAAATGGTGCAGAAATAGTTCGATTGCTACTCAGAGGCTAGATATCCCTGCTCCTCCTCAGATACCATTCATATACTCACCCATCCTTTTCCTCATCGGACCTGAGCTAAACCTTCTGCTTCACTAACCCTTGTGGCCCATTTGGTCTTGCAAAATGGCTTTTAGTTCACCTGCTCCTTTTCCGAACTTTCCGCCCAACCTTCCTACCATACAGCTTCCAACGCTGTCATTGTCGAAACTCGTAGCTGAAGATGAGGACGAAACGAAGAGGCTTTTCAACACTTGCATATCTACCGGCGTCTTTCTTCTTGAACTGCAATCTTCCCAGGAAGGCCTTAGTTTGATTAAACAAGTTGATGATATGTTTCAATTAGGAGAAAGAATCTTCAAGCTAGGCATGGAAGAGAAGCTGAGATACTCCATGCTTAATGGGACTGTTCTTGGGTACACTCGCATCCATCCACAGTCCTACGTACCTGACTGACGATAGTACTCCAGATACAAAGGAGCGGGAATCGGCCGGATCGATGCAAAAGGTACTCCAGATCGCTGCGAGTTTTGGTGCATGGGTAAAGACGATGTTTTGGGTATTGTGCCTGCCCTTCCAGCACCAGAGGTCGTCAGTAGTCACCGCAGCCTATATGCGGATCTCGCTCGGAGTTGTCACTCTCTGTCCATGACCGTCCTTGACTGCCTAGAGACTCAACTCGGCCTTTCCAGGGGTACTTTCCGTGCCTGTCACCGAATAGAACAACCATCCTCAGACCAAAGCCGTCAAATCTGTTATCTACCCCAGCCGGAAGGAGATCGTCGCACGAGCCTAGTCCCGCACACTGATTACGGCAGTGTGACCATCCTATTCAACATTCTCGGCGGTCTGCAAGTTCTTCCTGAGGGAAAAGCTGCTGAAGAGGAAAATTGGCTCTGGGTCAGGCCCAGCCCTAACTGTGCGATCATCAATCTAGGTGATGCTATGGTGAAGTTCACGAATGGATTACTTAAAAGCCCAATGCATCGGGTGATGTATGCCCCCGGAGAGCAAGCAAACTTAACGCGCTATTCGCTTGCCTATTTTACGAGGCCAGAGGACCAGTGCTTGATGAAGAGCCTGAAGGGTAGTGCGATGATATCGAAGCTAAACAGTGAGGACGAGGAGGTGGGTGTGACTGCTGGAGAGTGGGTGAGGACAAGGGTTAGGGCAGCACAGGTCCAGGTGGACCAGCATGCACGGTTTCCAAAATGGGCTACCAAAGGTCTAAAGTGAAATGGATTAGTGGCTGCGAAATTCGCGATGGGGGAATTGCGTTATTGAGTGTAGCAAAGTTGAAGACTGTTGTGTTTGAACAGAGTTCCAGGTTTCGCTGAATCACTTCACCCGCGTGCTAGCTTCTGCTACCGATAACTATCTACGCAGATTCCTCCATGCATGTCTAGGTCCTATAGAGGCTAACTAGTTAGCATCCAAACTACGGGTATTGAACCAAGTATATAGATAAAATAAAAATATTATTAACCTAGATTAATTTATAGCGTTTTTATAAGTAACTTATAAAGACTTAAATAAAAAGTTAACAGCCCTAAGTTACCTAAATAACTTATAATAAAAAAAGAAAAGCTTTACTTTACACTTTACTAAGTTTTACTAACTTACATCTAATATAGGCCTAAATAAAATAGGTGTTGAATGGGCTCTAACAGCTAGCTGCTTATAGTATAAGCACTTAAGTAGCAAGAGTAAGAGTGGTGTACAGTGTGCACAGCGTACAAGGTAGGTAAGGTAAGGGCAACATGTTTCTAGTTCTATTGCTCTTATCTTTCCTCTGTACAGAGGAAAAAGGGGATATCTAGATGTTTGCGCATAGAGGTTTACGCACAAGCATTATGTAACATAGATACGTGATTCTGCTTATGCGTGATCGCTTGTATCTAGGCCGCAACGCTGCTGCTGTGTACAGACACTAGCAACTTTTCTTTTTGTCTAAAGAGTTGCCTTCTGTACGCATTACCTCTCTTCTGTCTGTGTAGGTTTATCTAATTACATTCTGCCTTTACTCTACCTTATTTATTAAGACTTGCCTTAGTAATGCTGTGCGTTAAGATAGGCTAGTTATGCTATATAAATAGCTTTTCTTTTCTTTATCCTTTGCTTTCTAAGCCCTGCTATATAATCCCCTAGCTCTTTTCTCTTTTTGTACAGTGCTAGCAGTAACAGATCCTTATAATAAAAAAGATAAGTGTGTATAATATAAAAAAAACAAAACAAAAAGAAATAGGCCTTATATAAAGGTGTTATTAGTCTAGTTAGTCTAAGGCATCTTTGCGCACAAGATCTAGCTAGTCTACAGATGCTTCTATCTAGACAGAGAGGCAGTTAGTTAGGACTAATAATTAAAGAGCTTAGTTTAGTATTTTCTTTATACATGCATCTACTAGGTTGTCTTTACTATTAATCTACCTAATCTTAGCAATTTCTCTTTTTTTGTATAATTTGCAGAGTAACATAATATTAATTATAAGTTACTTTTTACTAGTAGTGCCTAGCTTAATAAGGCAATTATATAAAGACCTTAAATCTGTGCAGATTACTACTAGGATTAGTAGTAGTTTAAGTGTTTATATAATTTACTATAGAGTTGTACTAAAAGCAATTGCATTGTTAAACCCTCTAACTATTCTATATAGTTTGCTAGTAAGGACACTCCTAGTTACTCTTTTACACTTATGTTATAGTCTACAGTTAGACTAACATAACTTTACCCACAGTACTCTACAATCTAGCTAGATTAGGGCAAGGCTTGTTTACAGGCTAGTTAGAGGACGCAGAGGCGGCAGGGCTACCTGCTATTATAGAAGAATGCCTTATCTAATAGGGAGACAGGCTGAGAGCTTAAGGAGCCTAAGGGAGCTTATAGGAGCCCTCTTAGCAGGCTCCTATAAACTCCTACTAGCTCCCCTTAGCACCTTAGCACATGTATATAGTTCCCCTATTAAACAACCTTTAAGAGGTGTGTTTAACGTTTAGTTTATTCTCTACATAGACTAAGTAGCATTTAGCTTTCTAAAGAGCTATAATACTATTTGTATATCTTACATTATATATACCTCTAACCCTGTCTAAAAGGACTGTTTAACCTAGCCTCCCTACTGCTGCATTAAGGGCAAACTACAATCTAGTCTCCCTATCTCCCTCTATAAGCCTAATAGCCTGTACGTAGGACTGTACACCCTACTAGTTAGCCCCTACTACCTGTCCTACTTCCCCCCTAGGAGTATTACTAGACCTAAGTGCTTTCTAAAGCAAGAATTGTAACATTAAACACTACTCTTTTAAAAAGTATAGTAACCTTATAACACAATCTAGATTCTAATATAGCCTATGCTGCGCTATTAGGATCTATAGAAGTTCCTACCTAAAGTAAAGCTATCTTAGCAGAACAGATTAACTTAATCTAGAATAATATTAAGGAACTTTAGTAAATTAGTAACAAGGTTAGCAAGTTATTAAAACTTAAGTAAAAAATAACTAACCTCTGCTAAAAAACTATAAACTTACTATGCCCTCTACTCTTTACTAAACCTTACAAAGATACTACCTAAGCCTACTAGATACATAAACTACAAGTAGAACTAGCAAAAGTTTAAAATATTTTAATAAATAAAGTAAGTGTTGCAGCTAAAAAGGCTTTAAGACTAGCCCCCTCTAAGCTTTTTAAAGGATTGCTAAAGGACCTTTAACTATTCTTTACTAAATGCTACTTTTATATGCAATACAACAAAGGAGCATTTTAGACTAACATAGAAATAATCTCCTAGATAGGATTACACTTAGAAGGCCTCTCTATAATCTAGTTCTAACCCTACGCTAATAATTAGATAGACTTTAGAGCTAACAGCGCACTACTTAACTCTAAAACTAAGGAAGTATTTAGCAGTGTTAAAAATTTTAAATTAGCCCTATTAGTTATTTATAGAACCTTAGATAAAAAAAGAATTGCAGCTAATAGACTAGACAACATAAGACAGGGCAGCAGACTAGTCTAAAACTATGCAGCGCGCTTTAGGGAACAGATAGCTATTTGTAGATAAAACAACTAGAAAGCCCTATGCTGCATGTTTTATAATAGACTAAATAACAAAGTAAAAAATAAGTTTATGCACATAGACTAACTAACTACTCTTAAAAACTATATTAAAAAAGCAACAACTTATAATAATTACTATAAAGAACGCAAAAGAGAAAAGAAATTAAAAGAAACTTTCTAAAAGCTAGAATTTATCCCTAAAAAAAAAAAACTTTTATAATATAATAAAGAACTAATAGATCTTAGTTATGCAAAGCATACACAGAGCCCCCCCCCCCCTTTAAGAAGAGCTAAGTTCTAGAACATAATAGGCTGCCCCTAATAAAAGAACAATAAAAGTAGCTAGAGGACAAGGCCTGCCTAAACTATAAAAAAGTAGGACATTTCTGTTAAAATTGCCTAGACTCCTAGAAAGGGGAGAATAAAGATACTACTATAATAATAAAAGCTATTACTGCTAAATATAGCCTTATAAATAAAAAAATATAGGAAAGACTAAATAACAGACTTTGCTAGTAATGTAAAGGAAACTATTCTTTAAATAACTGCTTTAAACTATACTAGAAGGTAGTTATTTAAAATTTTAGTAGCCTTAATATAGTGTTGCAGGACCTTGTAATCCTTAAAAGATATAGAGAAAAGACTTAGATCTAAAAATACATTATAAACATCTAAAAAAGAGAATAATAGTTCCCCCTCTAAGACTAAACCCCTAGTACTTTAGTAAAAGAGCTTTCCTAACAGTTTTAGAGATGCAGGTGCTAGAAGTGTAGGTTATAACATAACTACCTAAGTAATTATGTAGTTTTACTACATTAAATAAACATTAGCAACAACTACTTAACATTTAACATTATATAAAAGATAGCTAAAGTTAAGTATAACATTATAAATAAAGAAAAGTAATAGCTATTTTTTACTAAAATTAAAAATTAAAAGCTAGAATAGCTAGGCAAACTTGCTAGGTTTAAAATACTATAACTAGCGCCTAAGAAACCTAAGACACTGCTCCTAAGCTTAGCAATTTCTAAAAAAGCCCTTGTAATACAACAGAACTATAGATAATATGTTTTTTACAGAAGCAACACCTATAACACTAATAGCTGCTAATAGAAAAATCACCTAGTACAGCTAGTACAGACAAAAGAATACCTACAGTAGACCTAAAAGAGTCCCCTTAGCACATTATATAGACTAGACAAGTGTCTATACCCCTAGTACTAGTGTACACAATAATATTGTGTTAGACACTAGGACAAAAAACATTAAGCAGGATAGTAGCCTACATAGGAAAAGAACCACAACAGTTACCTATAGCAGGGAACAGCCTTAGCCTGCAAAACTACAAACTGTTACACTTGTTAGACAGCTCCTCCTTACAAACAGAAAGTATAGGTAAAGTGTAATAAACAAGAAAACTACAAGTTCTACTACTTTTAGTAAAAGGTAGTAAGAAAAAAGGACTACCTAATATTACATTATCTAGTTAAAGATTATAAATGTAAGGCAGCTAACTGCTGTAATTAAAAATATTAAATTTATAAAAAAAAAAAGAACAAATTTAACAATAACTTATAAAACATTAACTTATATCCCTTTTCTAATAAAGAAGTTAAACATAATATATCTGCAGTAATTGCAGTAAAATAAGGGGCAGGACACAGCCTAACAACCACCTTTACGTATAAAGGGTGCTCTAGACTAGCCCTTATAGACAGTAAGTGCACCTTTACTATAATAGATAAAAAATAAGTAGACAAACAAAGAATACTATTCTAAATAAAAAAAAACCTGTTTAAGGTAACTCTTATAAACGCTTTATTAATTAAGTATAGCAAAAAATAGGTTAACCTAGAGACCTATAAAAAAGACCTTAAGACCTCTAATATAAGCAACTAGAGGTCTATAAACATACTTAAGCTAGAAAGCAAATATAATGTAATCCTAGGCTATAATTAGCTTAGAACATATAATCCTGCAATTAATTAGAGAACTATAACTATAGAAACTTCTAATAACTACACACACATAACCTAGTTAGCATGCTATAATAACAAATGCCTAGTCTATAAACAAGCAAAGCAGAGTAGCAGTTACTACCCTAAGAAAAGGAAGCCCTAGAAATTCCCTTGCTAGGAGCTAAAAGCTTATATAATATAAATAATAAAAAAAGAACTTAAAGAAGTTTCTTACAAAAAAATTAAGGCAAATAAGAATGTAGAATAAATTAGTGTTA